TTGTTATTTTACACTGCACACATGTTTTTAAATCATTTTTTGAATCAATCATACCTTTAAAATTTCAAAGTCCTTCGAAAAAAAATCCTGACATCAGAGTGAAAAACTAAAAACGCATTTTTGCTATATTTGCCCAATAGTTTCGTGAGTATATCGATTCTTTCTTGTGTTTTGAAGTTTTTTTTGTTTTTGTCTCACGGTGTAATCGATTACATAACATTTAACATACGTTTTAATTTTCCAGTCGATTTCCTTATTTTTTCCTTTGGGCTTAAATAACGTATCTCCGATGTCTTGTACTCAATGCCCTTTATCTACAACTTTCATAAAAATTTCTCCTAATATTTAGACCCTTTTGTGATTTAACTGTCATACTTGATATTAGTTCTTACTTTGAAAACCAATAGTACACATTATCAAGGAGCTATACATAAAGATAACAAAAAAATTATCGTCCACAGTGGGTTTTAATATTAAAAACAAATTTTTGTAAAAACTGCAGATTGAGGGTATTAAAAATAAGCCTCAGATATTGAATGTTTTATTGCTCTTCTGTTATCTTTTAATAACTCAGTACGTGTGATCTTCATGTATTTTTTATTGTCCATATTGTCAGTTTCTTGCGCTTTGCGGCATGCGCCTTTTGTACGATTCGAAGTTGAAATCCGGAATTACAGTATGTACTTACGTTGGTATTCATAGGTGCCTTTGGATTTGCAGGTTATCAATCTGGCCCGGTGTCCATCCGCCGTAAGCGCACCACGCCATTTGCTTACTACTGAAGCACATAAAACGTTCGGTGTGTGAGCTGTAGCTCCCCTGGCGTAGACTTACGAGTGGCGAAGAATAGCACGCTCAAGCCGAACAGTCTCGCTGCACTAGGTAAAGGTTTCGTAGCATATTCCGATGGCAATTACGCTTTGTGAAGAACGCATGACATCTTGATCCTGAAAATAGAAAGGAAGGGGGTTTGGTCTCAGATTTTCGATGAGATGGATGAGTAAGATAATTTGAAATTACGGAGAGTTCGCCAGGAGAAAACCGTTGTATTAGGGAATATTAGTCGCACTATCATACAAGATTATCGGCCTAGATGTTTGTTATATTTATGATATTAAATATTTAAATATGTATTACCCGGTGTAATAAAATTTCGCTCAGAACACGCACTCATTTGTGCCTACCTATATATATGATACACGATTTTGATATTAATGATAGTTGATGATGAGAGTTAGGAGTATTTAATGGTAAAGTGGGTTTCAGTTAGGGTTGCCAACTTTTAAAATTCCTAAGGGAAGGAAACATAATTTTTAAGTAGGACGTTGTATGAAACTGGCCTTGCTTTAGGAGGACACAATATTCGTTTAATTTCACGAAAAAATTAGGGAAAAGGCTTTCTGCATCAAAAAAAAAAAATCTTAATATTTCGATTACGGTTTTGGCGGTTAGGGCTCGATATGTTTATAAGTAAATGAGACCACTTAATTTTTAAATGGATTCCTTGTTATTTTTAATAATATTGTAAAACTATTGCTCATTTTCTCCATATAAAAGAAATCGTTGAACATAAGTTCTTTGTATGGAAGAAAATGACTGGCATCCTCAACAAAAAAAAATTTAAAAAAATTTAACGGTAAGTCCCAGCTTTTTTACCTCCCTTTTATTAGCTCGGGGTGTAACTATGTAATATTGATGCGCCTAAAAGATGCAGCGATTTCTATTCTCAAGTTACATACCTGATGACAGTACGAATGGAAATTATAATAGCGAGGGCTTAGTTTTTTAAAATATAATTTTATTTAGCTTGCACTTTATTGTACTAAAATTGAATGGGCTACAAAACTGCAAACTTTTCCAAAAAAATCGAATTAAAAAGTTCGAAATTTTGTCAATATGTGAGTGTCGTAAAGTTATGATAAGCACTATATAATATATAGTATATATATCGTACTAGTATTATATTTCGCTGCAAAAATATATATTTTTAATCAACATTTAATTGCGTTTTTTGCTTAGGTTGCCCAACACTATAGCGGCTATCAATCAACCATAAGCAAAGCTTTTTCAGTGATCGAAAAAAACGAAAGCTTTATTTTTTTAGCGGCATCCGGTATTCCTTTTGAGTTGTGAATAACCGGTCGCTCATACGAACTTTCCTTCTCGCTATATCGCTTTGAACTAAAAGAGAGCTGGCATTTACCATCCAATCCATTTTCTTGCAAAAAAAAAAAGATTTTGTGGTATGCAGACAATTGCTGTGAAGTTTTACTTTGAAGACACTAAATTTTGATATGACTTCATATTGACATTTCTGTAAAATGGCTTCAAAGCTTATAAAATGAAATATTCGCTCTTCAAAAATAATTTTCTTTAATTCAGTTTTTCTCAGTTCGTTTTTTACCTCACTTAAGCACCGACTAAAATTGTAACCTTTCGACCTTTTTCATCTCCGTTCCGCTATGCTCTTAGTCTTGATCTATAGCAGCATCAGCAAATAAAATCACAAGCGTACTCACTCTCTTTTGTTGTATTTTTTCATGCTAGAAAACCCAATTCCTACTTGTACTAACTACGCTCACTGACTTTGTTATGCTCGCTTTCTACTCCGCCATTACACGCCGTTCTTATGCTTCGAAAATTTTTAGTACACACAAGCAAGGTGTATTAAACAAGGTGTGATCGCCAACTCAGTGTGGCTCTCTTTTAAGGTGCTATAGTGTGAAGAAGTATAAACAAACCATTCAAAATTCATAAATTTTTTTTTCAATTTGACTTTATTGGATGGTTCAAATTCAATCACATTTTGCACACAAGTTTGTTGTGCGCGCTCTCAGCGCATCATTCAGATTATTTAAATTTTTTTGTTTACTATTTTAAAAATAAAATTTTTTCGTTTTCTCTCAATACGAATAATAGCAACAAAAGTCAGCAAAACAAGTGAGTAACAGCAGCAAAGCTTACCATGCTTATTCGGTTGACAGTGTACGATAATAATTTCGTGTGGTTACACACTCGCTTTGCTTAGTACTCAGCGAATATAAGCGGCACTCAATTTTTGCGTCTACATTTTTATTTTGTATTTTCGCTTTTTCGTATTTACCTCGTCACTATTTTCGGACATCTCTGCATTCGTGTTGGCACACAACGCACTGTCGCACAGTGCCGCCTAAGTGGGCAAAAATCGAAAAATTCGTTGTCGGCAATGTGAACGTCGTGTTTGATTTTTTTGTAAAGGTAATTTATCCATTAAAAAATTAAACAAAAATTTCCCTACAAAATAAATTTTATGCCGCCAGGAAGCCACTAAAGTGGACAAATTTTATACTAAGAATTTTAATAAGAGCATAGCCATGCGTAAGCTCTTCACGGAAACAAATGTGAAAAATACATTCTTTGAAATAAAATGTTGGTTTGACGTTTTTTTTATCTCTATATATATATAGTAGAGAACTACAGGAATCAAAATTTTGGAATAAAATTAAACACAGGGTATCCCTGCGGCATTCCAGAAAAACAATTTTTTTAATCATAATTTTTATTTTATTAAATAGCACGGGTTTTTAGCTTTCGAAAGAAGCAATAAAAACATACTCATCTTTTGCACTTTTTGAAGTAATGCGTTTTTTGCTAATGCATAAAATGTATTTTTTTTTTCATTTTTTGTCAGTGCCATCAAATCTGCACGATCGTGCTATTTTCAAAAATTAAGTGTCAGATAAAAAATCTTGACCTGTAGACAATAGAGGTTTACTTTTTTTAAAGAGTTGCCACCCCTTAAAAAATTAAATTAAAATTAAAGTTAAATGAATTATTAAGAGATGAGTGTCAATCGAAATGTGTATGAAAAGGGTTTATTCCTCAAACACATATAAAGGTTTGCCACCTGATTAAAAAAACAAATTCCATTTGAATTAAAGTAATTGAAATAGATAGGTATCACCATATGGGAGTCAGACGAAAGAAGTTTAAGAAGGTGTTAGCTTGCAAATATTACGAAGAGGGCTGCCACCTATTTGTAAAGTCAAATTTAGTTAAACTAAAATCATACACTGTTGATCAGTGATTTGCTCTGATTACATTCCTTTTGAATTACTGGACTCTTAAATTGACTCTGGAATGTTTTTACTCTTCACTTATTTCTCGTTAAATATGTCAAATTTTTTCTTTTGTCTGATACCCATATTGATATACATATTTCCGTTACCTTATTCCCTTAATTAAAGTGAATTTAATTTTTTATACATGTGGCAACCCTACTACGTGTCATATTGTAATATCGAATTCATTTAACTTACTAAATAATTTTAATAAAATGTGTAGCAGGTGGCAACCCTTTCCAAAAAAATAAAACTTTATTGCACATATGCAGGCCAAGCCCTGCCATTTGACACCTCACTTTTGAAAATACTCAATTTTACTAAGAATCGAATTTTAATTTAAATCCGTCCATAATTCTATTTTTGCTCACATTTTATATGGAAGGGAAGCACTGTATGTCGGCGCTTTCTGCGGTAGGCGAAAATAGCGAATTGATCAAATCGTTGTTCAACCATCTGCACTAGCCGCAAAGTGTACACAGAATGGGGGAAAAAATGATAGCTAAAAAGACTCGGAGAGGAAAATCCAAATTTTACGAATGATGTAGAAAAGAACTAAAGTGGAAAGAAATCGCTAGCAAAACACATATTTAACAGCCACGAACAGCAAAAGCACATAAAAACAACAAGGCAATGGCAAATTTGAAATACGTATCAGCAAACAAAAACATTGAGCTAATGCTTAGTGTGTACCCTCTCTGCACACCTGTACGCACCACTGCGGCTCTCTCTTAGGCATTCTTTGTTAGCCGCTTAGCTTTTAATGCTGTTATTACCACCTCACACCTTTCCCGCTTCTTCTACGTCTTCCGTCCTTCTACACTTATTCTGGAACTTGTTCGTCTTCAACCTTAGTCGCCGTGTCTGTGGCTTCTTCGTTTTCGCATTTATACGCTTTCATCAACACACCTTCTTCTCGGTTGGCACCCGAATGAAGGTTCGTGTCTTAAGTCTTTGGTTTGCTGCGATTCAGTTTCTTCGTGTACGCCGTCAGTGCTGGTTGTGTTTAGCGGATGGAAGAAAGCGTCTGCTGCCTCTTATGGACTAAGCTGAAAACAAAAATAAATTTGCAAGTTAAAACTGTTGGAAATAAATTAAACTGTATTACAAGAACAACGAAAAGCTGGACACTGCGAATTTTTGGGTGTATGTGAGTGACGAAATTCCTGTGAAGCAAAAATAAATAAAAATATAGAAAATCGTCTATTAAATAAAGAGTATGCATAAAATTGTTGTACTTGCATTTCACATTTCTGTGCAGAAAATTCTTCAATGTGGCGCAAAGAAGAAATAAACACAAATTTGCGTCTTTGAATTTACTTTGCATTGAGTTTGCTAAGCGAGTGTGCACAAATGGAATTGCGTGTGACTGTGTGCGTGTTTACTCGCTAGTTTTGTTGTGAAAGTGCAAATAAAAATGCTTTAATATGCAAAGAAAAAATCAAAAGCACTGAAAGCATTTTTTATGTGATTCTAAGTGAAATTTTTGTGGCATTAGAAATGCGCGAAAAAACGCATGAACCAGTTAGAGCGATTTAAAAAAAAAACAAGAAATACGAAAATTCGAAAACAGCATAATTGCTGGCAATATTAAAAGCAAAAACAAACATAAATATTACTAAAGTGTTAATAACATTATTTGAAGTAAACAAACTTTTTATAACTGCTTTCTCGCAGCACAGTTTTCATGAAAATCATACATATGGGTGTACGAATATTTTGCGATAACAAATTACATTGTATGTATTCAAAATTGATTTTTTAGAAATAATAGACTTTAATTTAAATATGTATTAAAGCAATTTGAAAAATTCTCGAAAAATTACAATTATGTGCATTATCATCTTTAAGAAAATTGCTTTAATAGCTGAAAACATTATGATTTTTTTTTATTAAAATCCTTTAAAGTGGGAAATTTTAGTAAAAAAAAATACAGTACTCAATTTTAAAAGTGGGAGAAAAAAAGTTTCTATTTATCAAAATAAACATATTTTTTTATTCATTAAAACTTTTTTCAATAAAAATTTTCGAAAATGGTATTATAAATCTAATATGAAGATATTTATATTTTATTTATAAAATCGGGAAAAATCACATTTATTTGCATTATCATCTTTAAGACCATAACAGGATTGAATAGCAAAAAAAATGTTATGAAAAAATTAAAAATTGTATTGAGATTAGTTAAAAGTTTAAAAATTTAGTTAAAACAAAATAAAGTTTTCCATTTAAATATTGGCAGAAAAAATATTTCTATTTATCAAAACAAAGATAATTTTTCATATTTGATATTGTTTTTTAAATAAAAATTCTGTTTCCATGAATATTGAAAAAATGGTACTGTCGGTGTGAATTGAACCACAGGAAAGATTTAACAAAAATATATAAAAAAAATTGTTTTATGTACTAAAAAATTTATATGTAAACAAACTGAACTAAATTTCGTTAAGGGATCTCAATTTTTACTCGAGTTATCGTGTGCACATACAGACAGCCATGACTTAATCGATCTCTCTTGGCATTCTGAGTATTTTTGTATATTCATATGTCCATACCTATCTCGATTCCCATAGGCTGTTACAAACGATCGTTATGCGAACAAAGTTAATATACTCTTGTGCACAAGTGCGCTCTAGTATAACAAAAGACATTTTTTATAAGTAACTTTTTTATAAAAAAGTAATTTTTTAGGTATACATATTTACTAATTTTCTTATACTAAAAACTACTTTTTGATTTTTGTTTTATTTTCCTTTTCTTAAGGTTCAATGCACATAAAAAATATATAATCTTATTTAATTATCTACTAAAAAGATTTAATATAAACAAAAGAAACATCGACATTACAATGTAATTTGTTTTTGAAAAATACGCACATCTACCATTCCATAGCCCATTCTAAAAAACATAACAATACCAGCTATTATTTGCAAATACTCGTAAACTAACATTTTTCGACCTGCCCTCGAAAGGCGATTTTTCCGCTAAGCGCACAAATTTAAGCCAATTTAACGCTTGCTATTAAATATGATTATAAATTATACATGAATTAAAAAATGTTGACCTTAACATTTTTCCACCAGCCGCTGCTGTTTATTGCCTACGTTCGAATAAAAATCAGCACTTTAATTTCTTTATTGTAAGTTTTGCTGTATTTAGTTATTGTTTTTCTATGTATTTTTATTTTGCATTTACTCTATGCTTGGCTTAACAAAATTTCCAGTTGCTAAATAGAATCAAAATATAATGAAAATGTGGACGTTGGTGTACAAAAAATAAAAATAGACAAAAACAAAATGCTGGCGTCATCGTTCGGCAATTTGAAA